CCTGGACACAAGAATTGTCTTATTAGTAAGTACAAAACAGGGGGGGAAGTGAAAATCTACAACTGGAGTACAAGAGGAAGGATGTCTTTGAGTCTGTGCTGTCATGTTACAGGCTTAGGCAGAAAGTGTTTCTTGCCAATGTACGAAACCCATTGAAGACCTTTATAGTTCTTATGTGTGCAAACTCAGTTCAGACTGGGATTTGAGTACAAAAATCACCCCACAGAGAAGATGAAAAGTCCGTATGTGACTTTTTAGAAACTAGAAATTAAAGTAACACAGTTTGCTGTTTTCTCTTCTACTGCATCTCCACTCTAATCAGGCCCTTAACTTCCTCCATGTACGCCAACACAAATAACCTGCGTTTTTGCTACAGTGATGTGCTCCTCCCAACACCAACCCTCCCCATAACGCACCAGGTCCGCACTCCTTGGCACCGCTGCTCTGTGTCCGGATGCTCAAGGCAACTCCTCCACCCAGAGCTGAGGAGCCTCCCGAGTCCAGAACGGCCGCTCGCTCGGGTAACCCTGCCCGTCCTGCCGCACGAGCAGGGACTCCTACCAACACCAGCACCCGACACGGCAAAACACCCCTGCTGCCAGGGGACAGCAGGAAAACTTCCCTGGACCCACCAACGTGAGCAGCAGCGCAAGGGGACTTCACAGAGCCCGTTTCTTTTGAACCTGTCAAACAGACGAGGCCGCAGACCCAGAAGCAACCCCGTCCTTCCTGGTTTTCCTGATCCACAACACACAACCAGGACTTGACTTCACTTCCTTCTACAGTTACAACTTTCTTGCACGCTTAATTGTATTGCTCGTGTTAATTGATCTGGTCTTGAGTTTCTAATAAACGTCTCGAGACGATCAAGTTTACAGGTCAAACCTTTGCAAATATGGAACTTCTTGAAGCATCATCACTGGACTCCAGTTTTGGCTCTGCTAAACTTCTAGGAAAGTTTTGCATGTAGGAATGCTTGAACTAAAACCAGAAGTGTTAAGTTGGCCTATTCCAAGTCTAATATAAATTCTGGCTTGCTAAATTAACTAGGTGAAGTGGAAAGCATTTGAATGTATTAGTTTACACCAAACCTTTAAACACAAGATGGCTTAAAAATTGAAAAATCTGTAATTACAACTTAGTTAACATAATGCCAGATGGCTTAAAAGTTTAAAGATGCATATTTACAACTTAATTAACATGTAAATCGCAGCAAGGAATGAGCATGCACAGAAGCCAGGCAAAAATCTCAGCAAGCGGAAGCAACACGGCTTTGCTGAACCCAACGGCACCCTGAGTTTTTAAATCAGCTGAGGAGGCATCGAACAGCAGAATGACCAATTCCAGCAGTAAGGCCTACAGTCGGTCCAAACAACGTCTTCTAAGGGTTTATTTGGGGTGTCATTTTAAACAAAAAGAAGAAAATAAAAGGCAGGGTTTTGTTGTAGTAGGTTCACTTAGAAAGGAAGGAGAAAGCAGAGGTTACACCACCCCGAGGCCAGGGCCATGCTGCCTAGAGGAAGTGATTCCTGATGGGGACATACAGCTGGTGAGGCAAAACCGTAGGGAAATGCGACTATAATAAAGAATAACTGCTTCCCGATGGGGACGAGGTAAGATACACCAAGTGCAGGGCTCCAGCAGATCCTAAGAACAGTCTGGGAGAGGAGAACCTTGGAACTGAGACAATTCACCTGCATCAGAGCCACCTGAATTCAAATGAGCCCCAGGGTACAGTGACAACAAGAAGCTTGTCCACACCAGCAGACCAAGAGAGGGGTTTTCCTCACAGCTCTGGGGACAGGTTTCAGACACAGAATGTGAGAATGCAAGAAACCAGAATACATAGATGTGTGTGCAGGAGGACAAGGAATATGGCTCGTATATTTTATAAGTGCAGGAAGAAAATATTTCAAAGGCTTAGGCAAGAGCTTGTGCGTGGATATCTGAGAGCAGCCATTCAAGAGAAGGATGAACAGATGAGTGAGCAGAGAGAAGAGCTACAAGTCTGGCACAGAACTACAAAAGGCTCAAGGGGAAAAAAACCACGAAGGACACAGAAGAGATCTCGGGACTGACAAATGAAATTCACTGTGAGAGAAGAATTCCAGGAGTAGTAAGGAAAAGATGAAAATGAAAGACAACACAGTCAGAGGGGAAGGTAAAACATCCCTTGGTCTCTTAATTTTAGAATAGGGAGCACAACAGCATGGCAACAATAGCTCTTTGCTCTTTTATATGGGAAGAAACTGATGACAAATAAAGATAGGGTCAAGAAGAGACATCCACAACTTAGAAAGGAAGATGTAAAATAATGCGTCGCTTCTGCAGCAGAAAATTTAAATGGTGACAGAGAAAGCTGAAAAGAGAAAGTTCATTTGTTCTTATTACACTGTCTCAAAAAAATCACCCCGCTCCCCAAAAAAAGAACAACCCCAAACCAAACCAAACAACCCACCACACCATCTCTGAATGTCCTGAACTCATTTAAGGGCAACAGAAGATTGCCAGGAGGACTGGCAGTCATAGCCAGCAACTGCACACAGCAATTTCTTTCTGCACGGGCCCAGAGCCTGCACTCAGGTGACCACTGTGACACCGCAGGACAGAGAAGGGCAAGAGGAACAAAGTGATGCTGATGCCAATTCACCCGTGCCCACTTTATACCCCATCTATGCCTTTATTCTGTATTTTAAAGGATCTTTTCAAAACTAACAGCAACATCAGTTCTAGCCATTTAATGCTTCTTTCCTTTTTAAAATAAAAGAAGGTCTCAGTGCTTCTTACCTCCTAAACCAGGGTGTAAACCTTGCGGACCTTGGTTTTGCTGCTGCATCACCATGAAGTTGGAGGATACGTTGCCCTGTTGCACCATAGGATTACGACTAGGAGAACTGACAGGCTGCTGAAATCCCTGGGGAAGCGTGCTACTCTGGGGAGGCCTTGGTCCCATCTGCTGCTGTGTCTGGTTAACTGTCGGAGATGATGCAGGAGATCCCTGCTGGAAGGAGGAGGGAGAGGAAGCAGGAGACTTGTTGGTCAGGTGGGGTTGTTGTAGTGGCGTAGGAACCCGTGAGGGCCCTCCCTGAAGGCTTTTCATTTGAGGAGCCGTGAACTGGCCAGGATTGCTCATTTGGGGAAAGTTTGAGTGAGCCTGGGAAGCTTGCTGGCTTCCAAAAGGATATGGAGGTGGAGGATGAGTAGGAGTTTGTACTGTTGCTAGAGATGGTCTTGCTTGAAGTTGCTGCTGCATTTGTCCAGGCAATGGGGCTTTTTTCCAACCCTGGTTTACTGCCAATGTACTCAGTGCTCCTTGGGTTGGAGGAGGCTGAAGTGCTCCAGAAGGAAGCTGGTTCCAGCCAGGGGGAACTGGAACCTGTGCTGGTGAAGTAAATGAAGGCCGAATACCCTGCTGTGGCTGCTGATGTGGCTGGGGAGGACGTGTCTGCAACTGCGTTTGCTGCTGGAGCTGCTGAAAGTTGGCTGAGTTCATCTGCCTGTTTACAGGAATTGACTGCATTGAATGGAGCTGGGGAGCTAAAGATCCAGGTGGATGATTTTGCTGCTGGATATTTAGCCCAGATAAGAGTGGGTCCATAGCATCTATTAAAATAGCAAAGAAAAGTAAAAAAAAAAATAACCTACTGTAGACAAAACCCACCCCAAAACAAGAAAGGGTAAAGTGCTTGCTTGCATTTGCTTACTCTGCATAAAAATTCACGCTCCAGTGTTCTAATTGCTCCAACAGACAGAGCAGGCAATGCTCTAAGAGTTTTCAAGATGTTTGGGAATCCTGAGAAGCCAGGTCTTACCAGTTTATGGCCTCTACAACAAGACACGACAGCTCCACAGCTCTCGTTGCCACAGACCAACATAAACCTCCTGCACACTTAGAAATGGAAGATCACAGAATATCTCAAGTTGGAAGGGACCCCCAAGGATCATCGAGTCCAACTCCTTGCTCCTCGCAGCACTACCTAAAACTAAAGCACATGACTAAAAGCACCGTCCAGACGCTCCTTGACCTCTGACAGGCTTGGTGCCCACGGCCCTGGGAAGCCTGCTCAGGGCCCAGTTGCAGTGAAGACCCTTTTCCTAACGTCCAACCTGAACTTCCCCTGCCGCAGCTCCACTCCATTTCTCGTGTCCTATCACTGGTCACCAGAGAGGAGAGAGGTGCCTCCCCCTCCGCGGCCGCCCTTGAGGAAGGTGCAGACTGCGATGAGGGCACCCCTCAGCCTTCTCTGCTCCCAGCTGAACGAGCCAAGCGACCTCAGCCGCTCCTCGTAAGTCTTGCCGTGAGACCTTTCACCGCCGTGGCCGCTCTCCTCTGCACACACTGCAGCCATTTGCTGTCTGTCATATGTTGGGGCACCCAGCACTGCCCCCAGCACTGGAGGTGGGGCTGCACCAGTGCAGCGCAGAGCGGGACGATCCCATCCCTCGCCCGGCTGGCAATGCTGGGCTTGGTGCACCCCAGGCCATGGCTGGCCCTTTGGTTGCCAGGGCACGCTGTGGGCTCCTGTTCAACTTGCCATCACCCCAACCCCCTGAGCTCTTTCTGCAGGGCTGCTCTCCAGCCTCTTGTCCCCCAGTCTGTAGGTAGAACTCACCTGCTGGGGCTATCATCCCTACCAGTTAAAAAGAGTGGCATAACAAAGAAATAAGGTAATATCATAAACTCATAGTCCAAGAATATTTAAAACATTTATGAAAAGCGCTGTCTGTAAGAACAAATACTGCCAAGATCTACAGAAGTTGGCAAGCACTGCCACCATTTCATGGAGGAACAAGTAATAACTCCCTCTCATTTTCTGTAGTCCTGAAACACAAGTTACTTGTACCAGCAGAATTGTGAAGAATAAACCCTAAACATTCATACCTTTTGCATCCCCAGTGCTTGAACTTCCAGCCAACCTGCCCTCCTGAAAAGCACTTCTGCTCAGTTTGGTGTTTTCTTCCGAACCGTTCAACCAAGCCTTCTCTCACTTTTACCTCAACAAAGCTCAGCCACAACAGCTCCACTGCTGCTGCTCAGGGCATTAGAACAAAATACCAAGCAAGCTGGTGACATCTTAGGCACCCAAATGGTTCTAAAAGTTTTGCTGGATTAATAGGGACAGGAAGGGTTCCACAGAAAGAGCAGGGGAAACACTCCAGGACAATTCTGGAGTACTCCTACAGGCACATGCTCAAGCCTGCGCACTGAAGAGCAGGTTCAGGAACATTTTGGGGTCAGTGCTGGACTAGATTTTATCACCTGGCTGTGAGGAAGGCCGGGGTGTTCTTGGCTGCAGCTCAGCACCAGCACCACTTGCCACCATGGAGGAGGGCACATTTCCACTCTGGGACATCATGACAGCTGCAGCATTGCTCACTCTTATTAAACCTTGAAGAAATACAAGTTATCGAGTCTTGCAGTTTTTACATAGAGAAGAATTTTAGATTTATTTTATTTTAACAAGAAAAAAATCACATCTCTTAATGAAGCATTCCTTTAGACTTTCAGAACCATTTGTCCGAAGCGACCCGAGGACACAGATCTCTGAAAGCTGAGATCCCCTGGTTTAAAACAAACAGGTTAAGGTCATGGTGAAGCCTGTTCTTTGGCATCAAACCTTCAAAAAGGCCGCAGAGGGAAACGCTTCCCCCTCACCAATTATTTGAGCCTGACTTGCTACTAAAATCACTAAGTGACAAGATTGTATCCAAATCATAAGGTTTTTGCAAAGTCTGATACAACAAAGTAACTGAGGTGTTGTAAGAGAGAAAAACGTCAAGGTTTGACCTTCCATGGCTGCTGTGGTACAAAATGGTTTACACTGTTGACCTGTTGGTTACATTGTTAGTGTATTAGCATAGCAACAGAATCACAAAATCGCTCGGTTGGAAAAG